TTTGAACTAACTTATCTCACTCGTTTGAATTCAGAATTGAGATCTGTAAAATTCTACATGATTGTAATTTATTTTTACAACTTTTTTGTGTTGAGCTTAGATACTAATTCTTGATAAATTGATCCAGAAAAATAAAACAAAAAATGTCATCAATAAAGTGTTTCAATGACAACTTAAGTGCGTAGGACAGTTTTTAGACAATGCAAACTCAAATCACAAGACCTAAAAATTTTAAAAACAACATGGATAACTCAACGAAAATGCAAACTCAAACTCAAATCACTGGTTTTCTTCATTTGGTTGCCCCTCATTTTGGCCCTCAGCTCGCCCTCCTCCTCGTCCTCCACGACGTCCTCGACCCCTTCTTCCACCTCCTCCTTCTGCTTCTTGGCGGGCTCGCTCAACGACTTGTCGCGGATATCTCTTAACCCGAGCCCCTACAAGAGTTACAAGTGGCGGTGGAGGTTGCTGAGATGGACCGGTAGCCTGATGGTAGATCGGGCGGTGAGGGGTTTGTTGATGCGGGGTGTGATACATCGAACTCTGTTGCTGATGGTGGAAATGAGAGAAATTTTGTTCACTCTGAGATGAACCTCCAGCGACATCCGATGCAGGTGCCCACTCGTACTCAAATGGTTCAGGGAGCTCGGTTTCTTGAGTTGTACGCACCTCTTCGAAAGTAGGCAGAGGCCTGCGTTTGCTCCTTCATGGGGGCTCAATCGGGGGCACAATGGGCTCACCGTCACGGAATGATGGGCATGCCGTAGCGGGAATGGGAGGATAGGCCACGACATCCCTCCTTTGCTCTCGAGTACAACTCAAGAGGTTGTTCATAAGCCTTCACAACCAAGAAGTTTTCGGCTCATCCATGTTTGGAGCACTATCGAGGGTGTGTTTGGCGTGTTCCAAACCATCAACCTAAGCAATCCACATAATAAAACAAAATTAATTAAACCTTAAAACAAAATAATTAGAGACACGCGGGAGATTAGGATGACTTACCAACGAACCCAAGGCTTATCTAACTCAGAACGATAAAACAGTAACGAATGCTCAGATTGATGGTCATTCCTATTTGCTCCTATCCACCTTGTAAGTAAGTAAAAGCATGGAATAATTGTAAATTAGGCCAAGTACGGATTAAATCTAGTTTCTCAATTAAATCTAGCTAAGCATGGTATAAATTTAAATTAGGCTAAGCACGGATTAAATTCAATTTAGATCTAGCTAAGCATGGTATAAATTTAAATTAGGCTAAGTACGGATTAAATTCAATTTAAATCTAGGTAAGCATGGATAATTTTAAATTAGGCTAAGTACGGAATAAATTCAATTGAAATCTAGCTAATCATGGAATAATTTTAAATTAAGCTAAGTACGGAATAAATTCAATTGAAATCTAGCTAATCATGGAATAATTTTAAATTAGGCTAAGTACGGAATAAACTTACTTGACACCGTAAGGGGGATTTTGCAGAAAGTTTAGCTCATCATCGGCTCTCCGGTATGGACGTCGGTCTAGAGGTGCGAAGATTGGAAGATGCTCCCATACCCACAGCTGTAGGATAAACATCGCAGCACCGGCTTGTTTTGCTCTCACCTTCGAGCAAGTGCACAGCTCCCGGTATATGTCAGCTAACACGGCTGATCCCCAACTCTTTTCCCCGATTGCGTCCCAGTCACCAGTGAGCAATGGCAACCATATGTCTTGAATCCACCGGTTTGACTTGTTGGGGAACAGAAATCCACCCACCAGACCAATGAGGTAGATGCGTGCATAGCGCTCCACTTGATCTTCTAGAGTCTCGTCATTGATTTCCACCTCATTCTGGATGTGAGTTACAAGCCACGGGACCGACACTTGTCCCGCATTCAACGGTGGATGCCCCCATCCTTGAATTGGTGTGGTGGTCGGCATGTCAAAGCCCAAACGATCACGAATGAGCGGCCCCCAATGTCCTTCGGGTTTGGTAGTGGAACCAATGATGGCATCTCCAGAAATCGGCAGCCCGGTGAGGATCGCCACGTCTTTGAGGGTGATCGTCATTTCCCCCTCCGGAAGGTGGAACGTATGGGTTTCGGGACGCTAACGCTCCGCCATTGTCGTAAGCAGATCGTTGTCGATTTCGATCCGCATGAAATGGTGCAACATACCCAACCCGGTCCTCTCTATATAGGGCACCAACTGTGGATGCCAAGGGGGCAAGTTTGTGGTCCCTTTATGAATGAGTGGAATAAGTGATTCCTTCAAAAAAATAGGAAAACATCAATTTGTTAGTTTAAATAAAGCAAAATAAAACCTTAGAAAATAATAAAATAAAGCAAATAAATCATCAAATTACTGGATTGTTATCCCAAATAGCACGGGAGCGATGAGCTTCTTGATCGGTTAAGAGTTTCATATCTCTTGACCCATAATGGATATACAATCGAGGATCGTATATCTCGGCACCCATCTATAAAAAAAGTAATGAAATCAGAGATTGTTTTGATAAAAAAAAATCACAAAATCAAATTGTTACGATTAAAAATAAGAACACAAAAAAAAACCCTACACGTAGAGCCTCTCCGTCCATTTTTTGGCAGAAGCCGGACAGAGGTTCGACGGGTTTGGGTTTGTAAGGGACGGGAGGTTAGCGGGACGGGGGCTTTAGGATCAAACTCTAGTAATTCTTTCTGATGTGGAAGATCGGATTTATCCGCAACCACAGAGCATACTTAGAACGAGACTAGAGCGGATAAATTGAGGGAGAAAGAAGAATAATTTTTGTGGTGTGATTTGTAAGTGGGGGGGGGGGGGGGGGGGGGGGGAAGGATCTGGCGTGAGAATTTCGGGGATGCTTCACCGCCGTTGTCGAAGGCGGTGAATACACCGCGACTGTCAAAAACGGTGATGGGGGCGACGTGGACTAGCTATGAGGCGTCGGATCTGGGAAGAAAACCACGATCCGCGCCTCACTGCATCCGACGGCCACGGTGAAAGGAAAAGCGACGCGGATCGCTCACCGGGTATTCATCGCGTTTGTCTAACGCGGTGAATATACCGCGTTTGTCCACGTCAGCGATCCGCGTCGCTTGATCGTGGCCCACTACAGCGGTTTAAACTTCACCCCTTTTGATCAAAACGGTGAAGTATTCACCGTTTTCCTCTAAAATGGTGATTGACTCGCTATTGGTTCACCTTTTTAATTTAAAACAGTGAAGTATTCACCGTTTTTGACAAACGCAGTGAAGACTATCACTGCGTTTGTCAAAAACGGTGAATGCCAAACATGTTTAGTTTTGAAAATATTTTTATAACTTATATATTTTGGGAATTTTTTTTAAGAACTAGTGTACTTTGAGATTTTTTCCAGCAAAGCACTGACTGGTTCTTTGTTTGGCAGGAAGTCACTAACCCTCTGTTTACGAAGAAGGGAGGAAAATGAGGGGAGGTGAAGGAAAATTAGGAGGGGAAGGGAGATTTGGAAGTGAAGGAAATTGGGAGGAAAATGATATTTTATGGAGGAAAGTGAAAGGAAAGTATGTTTTGGAAAGTGTGATGAATATGTTATTTTATTGGTTATATAATAGTAAAATAATTTGATTGTATGTTAATATTTTACTTATGATACAAAATGAGAGTTTTAAACATAAAAATACACCGTAAGTTTGTAGTTTGTAGTTTGCGATTTATGTCGTTTGTGTCTATAAACTAATGACACATCTAATAATTATAAAATATTTTAAAATTAATATTTTACAAATAAATATGCAAATTACTTATTCAATTAATAAATGCCTTGATCTTTCCAATTAAACGACCAAATACTACCCTAATTTCCCCTACCAATCTCAATTAAATTGTCACCAAATTTACTCCATCCTATTAATCTGACCACCTGCTTTCTCTCCACTCAATTAAAAAAATAACCCCATAAACCCGTTACTCTTTCCTACTCCCTAGTCCCTTCACCATTGCTCTCTCTTGTCTCTTGTAATCGAAAAAAACAATTCCTAGACCTGTTCCGTTCTTATTTTTTTTTCTGCATGTACAGAGATCCCTTTTCTCCCACTCTTTCTTCTTCCTCTCCCTCTCTCGGCCTACAAAACGATTTGGGTTAACCCAATCCAAAAAGTAGAGCATCGATTCAGGTAAGATCAAGGCATGCATGTATCTTTTCTTTTATTTTCTGTATTTTTCTTGATTTTAATTGAGTTTAGTTGTTTTGAGGTCCTGATTACATCGATGAAAAGAGATGACCAGAGACGGCCGTCGACATCCTCGCCGACGAAGGACGGTGGGGCAACAGAGTAGCTTCAACTGAGAGATGTTTTTCTGGGTTCGTTTTTATTCTTTTTTTCACTTTCAATTGGTTTCCAATTATTTTCTTCCTTTTGCAGGCGATGAATTTTCTGGGTTTTGTGGAAAGAAAGAACGAAGAAGAAAGGGGAAAAAAGAACAAAGAAGAAAGATAAAAGAGAGATGATGCAAATAAAATAAAAAAGAAACTAAGCCCACTCAGTGTTTTCCATCCGATTTGGAGGGGAGGGTGAAACAGTGTTTTTTCCAACCCCTTTTCTTTCCTCTCGCACGGTTGCTCTCTTCGAAAACGGAGGAAAATGTTTGGGAATTCCAACTTTCCTTCCCCTTTTTCCCTTCCGCTCCTTTTCCACTCTTCAAGAACATAGGGTAAAGCGTAACACTATATATATATATATATTTTTTTTTTTAACAAAAGCACATATGGCAGCCAGATACAAAAAGATATGAACCAAATATATATAGCCTAACAATAAATATAAAAAAAAAATATATAGCCTTTGTACAGATATCACTCTCACTATCACGTGCGTGACTTTGCTCAATCATCAAAGTCAAATTTTCCAACTCGATGGACCCCCAGTCGCAAACGAGTAGAGATAAAAAGTGTACAAAAAGCCAAACTAGTGTGACGTCGGCGGTGACGTTAGAGGTCTTCACAAAGTCTATAAATCCATGCAAAGCTTCATCACCACCACCACACACTACAACAAGTCAACAACCACTCCACTTCTTTCAACGATGTCTTGCAAATACTTGACGGTCTTCCTACTCCTCGGAGTCGCCATCATCTCTGCTTCAACTCCCTCGGTCGCCGGCGACGACCACGAGCTCGACAGGTTCGGGAGAAACAAGCCTCACAAGTCCCACCATGGCCGCGGACACGGGCCGGGACACGGACACGGCCACCTCCTGTTAGAGGAGGAGGACAACAATGTTGTTGTCGGAGAGGATCACCGCGGAGGCCGCGGTAAGGGGGAGAAGCCCTCGCCGGAGCACAAGCCACGCCACGAGCACAACCACCCCTACCCGCCTAAGGAAGGAGGGAAGCACCACCACCCCGGAGGAGGAATGAGGCGGTTGTTCGCGGCGGCGGAGGAGGATGTTGTGGCTGAGGGGGATCGCTACTCCGGCAGAGGACGTGGCAAGGGTGAGAAAGGGTCCGGCCGTCACCATCATGACCATGAGAAGCCCAAGCACGAGAAGCCGCGTCACCGCAAGTTCCCTCCTCCGTCTGCCAACTAATTAATGTGTTGTTGAAAAGGTCCTGTATTAGAGAAGTCGGTAATGTGGTAGTATCAAAATAAAGGAGATGGTGCAGTAGTGTGCTACGGTCGTATGTTGAATATTGCGCCTGCATCATTTTGCCTTTATGTTATGTACTCGTTTGTATTGTAATGTGGTATGGTATTGTTAAAGCTTCCGATTGCCAAACAATATATTTTGGTGCTCTTTGCTTTTGGTCTCGTGGCCGTCGGCTACTTACAGCCCTACGTAGGCGCGTTTTACTTTAGTAATCGGATACTATAATATTTTGTCGATGAAATCACTACTATGGAAGAACTATCGGTGCGCTATTATTTCAAGATGAGCTCACTAATACTGATAGGATAAACAAACATAGGCAAAATCATCGTTTAAAATTGTGCTAATTCCACTACAACACCCGAACTATCCGAAAAATGTCACTTGTATTCTATTTTATTCAAGTTTTCATTTCTATCCTGAACTATTTTTCCGTTAGTATTGACTGGCGTTGACCGTTAGTATGTAACAGAAAATTTAGTCAACGATGATGTGGCATGATGGCATGCGTACTTTTTAAATAATTAAAAATTAGAAATAGAAAATACTAAATAATTCCTATATTTTTTTAAGATTAATAATTTCTATCTTCTACCCGAATGCCCCTGTCGGCCTCCTCTTACTGGCTGCGATCCTGTCAGCAATCTTCTCCACCGCCGACGAGCAAGAGAGCTTTAATCATGTCAACAAGTCCCCCGTCGGCATCGAAGTTTCAACCCAGCCATCGTTGATCCAAGTCGCCGCGGCACTCTACTCTTCAAAACCAAAAATGCTGCCGATCGACATCTGACTCCCTCGCCACCGCACGCTCCAATTACCTTCTCATTCGGTAGAACCCCAAATCAAGGCTCGTGTAAAGACCTCTTCCCACTCCAGAACGTACTCCATTCGTGATTCATGATTTCAATCTCCGATTAAGTTGAATTGAACATATTCTGTTTTGCAAAAATTAGGGTTCTTCGAAAAATGGTAGAAGCTCCACCACTTTTCATTTTTCAGTCAAAGATCGCAGCCATTATGGGCACACTTGGATTTGGAAGCCTAATTGGAGCCAGTGTCTTTCCACACACCCGCCGCTGACAGCCGTCGCTGAACGGGAGAAGGCAAGCGTCGCCGAATTGGAGGAGAGCTTCCATGTCGTTTGGGTTACCATTGTAGTTTGGATTCGAAGCTAGAGCTTCTCCTGACCATGAGCGACCTTTATTCTCGATTAGTAGAATACTTGGATTTGGTGATTGATGGGATTGGAGAGGAAGAGGAAGAAGCACAGAAGGGGAGAAGAGAAAGATTGATACGGCGATGGGGGATTGATACGGCGGGGAAGAGGAAGAAGCAGAGAAGGGGAGATTGTGGAGGGCGGAGCCATTTTTTTTATTTCAAAGAATTTATATTTTTTGTATTATAGTTATTATAATTTAATTTGAATAATTTAATTTTTAATTAAGTAATGATATGTCAATGATGTGGCACCTGCGTGGATGGGTTCACTGGCAAATTCTTTCGCACATTTTGGGACATCGTTGGTGAGTCAGCGGTGTAAGCTATCTTTTCCTTTTTTCGCACAGAACGGATGTTGCGAAGCTTCAACCATCCTTGGCTAACGCTAATCCCTAAAGTGGATAATGTGGAGAATATGCGTGAGTTGAGACCTATTAGCTTATGTCAATTCGTGTATAAAATCATTACAAAAAATATGTCGGAAAGATTGACTCGATTTCTCCCCACGATAATCTCGCCGGGGCAAAATGCGTTCATTCGTAAACGACAAATAGTGTGTAATGTTCTCATAGGTCATGAATTGATGCATTATCTCAAGATTAAAACCAAAGGTAAAAAGGGGTATATGGCTTTGAAGGTTGATATGGAGAAGGCCTATGATAGATTCGAATGATCCTTTTTACTTGCGGTTTTAAGAAAATTGGGATTTGATCCGATTTGGGTTCATTGGATTGAGGAGTGCTTGCGATCTTCCTTGTTTTTTGTGCTGATGAATGGTACACCAGTTGGTTACTTTACGGGAATGTGGGGACTTCAGCAATGTGATCTGTTGTCTCCCCTCCTCTTTGTCATCTGTACGGAAGGATTTGCGGCGCTTATACGAAAAGCCATTGAGGAGCGAAAGCTGGCAGGCGTCCGGGTTAGTCCCAGAGCCCCTCGTGTGACACATCTTTTCTTTGCGGATGATTTGTATCTATTCCTCAGAGGATCTATGGAAGAATGTGATAACCTGCTGGAAGTCTTAAATGAATACGAGTAACTTAATGGCCAGAGGGTAAATTTGGCCAAATCTGCGGTATGCTTTAGTCAGAATATTTTGCCTGGGTATCAAGAAACCATTGCCCTTCAGCTGGGTGTTGGAGCAGTCGGTGTACATGATAAATACTTGGGTCTACCTACCTTGATTGCTCAATCGCGTTCTCCTTACCGCTCCATGTTATGTCCTGTTTTAAACTCCATTTTCACTTTGTTGTATACTCGATAAGCACGTAGCTAGATTCTGGTGGGGGGTCGCTCCCGCGTTAGGTGGATCTCATGGCGCAATATGTGTACTAGTAAACATGATGGGGGGATGAGATTTCGGCGTTTTGAGCATTTTAATTAAGCCCTCTTGGCTAAGATTGGATGACGTATTCTTACGGAGCCTGATTCCCTCTTGGCCAAGATATATAAAGGCAAATACTTTCCGAATGGTACTTTCTTATCAGCGACTGTGACTCTTCCCTTGCTTAATAACTTTGAACCATTTCTTGCTTTCTTACTGCTTTTGTTTGCAATCACTCTCACCACCCTTAGTTCCGCTACATAACAGGTAGTCACGGAGTAGGAAGTAGATCTAGAAACCGGGTTGATAAATTGAACTTGCCACTATTCTACATTTCCATTCTGCGATTGCAATTGGTCGCCGTTTGGTGTTGTGTTTTAGCGTGTCAAGTTTTTGGCGCCGTTGCAGGGGAAAGCAGGAAATGGTTCGAAGTTCTTAAGCAAGGGAAGAGTCACTCAGGAATGAGCCCCCCTAGCTCCTTAGTTAGGTCCAAATTCGTGGGCTCCACGGACTTGAAAATCCCACCTCTTTAGGTGGAAATTGATCATGGACTTTGAAGTCCATTTTTTTACCAACCTACCCCTCATATGCTCTTTCTCTTCTTATATCATTGAGAGTAATAAAGATAAATTACACTTCATACATACAAATTTAATTAACAAAATCCATTATGAAATCCATCAAACAAACAATGGTGTTTATTAAATCCATAATGAACCCAAAACCATCATATATCAATGATTTTTCAAAACCCAAATTATACCAAAATCTTCATTTTCAAATCCACGATGCAAGCGAACCCAATGTAATAGCAAGCACACCATTTTGTCCAACTAGAATTTGTGGGAAAGAAAGTGAAAGAAAAATGAAACTTACCTAAAGTTGCTTAATATTCTTCTCTCATCTATAAACTTCCGAACCAGATCGAGTCACTTCTACTAATACCTCCCTACAATACTTAGGCCCTAGTCTTCCCTTAGCAGTAGAGCTGTTAATGAGCCGGCCTGAACTGAGCTTTGCCTTGTTCAGGTTTGGTTCATTTATAAACGTGTCGAACTCGAGCTCGACTCGTTTATAAACGAGCTGAGTCGATTCGAATATGAGTCAACTTATTTATTGAATCTTGACTGTCATTAAGATCAAAATTTCGGCTCGAGCCCAACTCTTAGATAATTTATGAATTAAATACCTAATATTTATGTCATATACAAGGCATACTTATTCACATACTCAAATTATTAAACATCACATGAGGTGTGATTATAGGTGTCAAAACATAGCCCGACCCGATCAACCCGCCCGATCAACCCGACCCGCAACCTAAATTGACTAAAAGTCAACAACCCGTAACCCACCCGACCCGCAACCCGATTGACCAGCAACCCAACTACCCCGCAACCCGACTAACCCGCAACCCAATTAACCCGAACCCGATTGACCCGCAACCCGACTGACCCGCAACCCGATTAACCCGAACCCGATTGACCCGAACCTGAATAACCCGTAACCCGACCGACTCAACCCGAAATCCACTTGAATAATTATAAAAATACATAATACATAGTTTTTCAAGGTAATAACCATATATATTTGTTTTTACTTGGACTCGAGGAGAGCTATCAATATTTATTCCCCACCTCTAGGTGAAAGGCAACTTGTAAGAAACCCGATATGACCGTACTCACCACTCCAACGAACACTCAATTATGTTGGTAAATTGGGCTAACTTGTTGGATATGAACTTGCTATTTTGTAGGGGTGTTCATTATTTGTTTTTACTTGGACTCGACATTGAGCTAAACAAATTAGTGGTTCATGGTAAATTATTATTAATTCTATAGACTATTGGTGAGTCGTGTATTGACCTGTTGATACTTGTGATTAGAATAAATAAAAATAGTATACTAATTAGGGTTAGACGAAGAAAGCAAAGAAAGAAATAACGAAAGGGTTATAGAAGGCGAGTGAAAAATGAAATGAAGAGGAAGTAAATGATGGATAAGTTTTGACCAATTCTTTGGATGTCAATACAACAGTCAACCCTTTTCACCATAAAAATATATTGACACTTGCTTATTTAGATGTCTAGGGGTGTGCAATGGTCTGGTCCAGGATAAGATCGAGTATAATGCGGTCCGGTCCTTGGTAGGGCTGGGAACCGAACCGGATTGACCCGGTTTTTTACAACCGTATTAGACAATTCCACGACCGAAGATGGGATTGGATTGTAACCCGGTTTTGACCAAACCGAATTGGATGCAATACGGTTTGGTCCGGTTTTAACTAAAAAACTGGATTGGTTTATTCCATCCCAACACGCTGTCATTTGCAAATGAAATTAAAAAAAAAATTTATAAAAATTTGTACACCATACCACGTCTCTGGCCCTCTATCCCCATCCACACAATCCCTCAAAACCCTATCTTCTTCCATCTCTAACGTTACCGTCGTTGCTCTCTCCCACCAAACAATGAAATCCACTTCTTTCCTCTACTTTCTTCTCTTCTCCCATTCCTTTGCTTCATAGAGAGCCGATGGGAGAGTCTGGCACCCATAAACTCTCCTCTTTTCCCCCTTCATCTTGCATGCACAACCATCACCATGTATGTCGTGAACAGAGGAGGCGAGCGCTGGTTTGCATCAGGGAGAGAGGTGAGTCGCTGTTCAGAGTGGCGATGAACGATTGGATGATGGAGGTCAGATCGGAAGATGGAGGGAGGCGATTGGAGAGTTCTGGTGGCGGAATGGCAATGGGCCGATGGCCGGCTCTCGGATGGTCGCCGTTGGATTCACGGGACGCGATCGAGGGAGGCGATTGGCCGGCGGAGGAGCTTGAATTCTCTTCGTCTTCTTCTTTTCTTCGCGTTGTGTGTTTTTGTAAAGTTTGAACAGAGAAGATAGAAGAGGTTGAGAGTTAGGGAGTGAGAGAACAGAGAATAAAATCATGGCCGACTAGGGTTAGGGAGTGGCCTCGGGCTCGGAGTGGACTCGGGCTGGGACTAGGATTGGGACTGGGCTAGGCTATGGGAGGTGGGCTGGCTATATTTGTATTATTCGGTTTTAACCAGATCGGACCGGGCCAGCTTTTTTGTGTGAATCCTACAACCGCAAATTGGATTGGGTGAATGATAATTCGATTTCTGGTTACAACCGGGACGATTTAAATTGGCCGGTTTCCAATTTGACCGAAAAACCGGGTCCGGATTCCCAGCCCTAGTCCTTGGTCCACATGAATTTGACAATTACTGAAGTAATGATGGATCGAACTGATATTTGGACCAGACCAAACTGAATTGAACCAAATGGACCGAATGCAATGATGGTCCGGTCCTTGGTCCTAAGATGTCTTTTCACTAATGGCCGGTTCGGATCGAACCGAACCATTGCACACTCCTATAGGTGTCGCATATTTTGGTACATGTAGTTAGTAGAAGTTTGTTTAGTACCCGTAAATGTACTAAATGAGTTTATAAATTTGCTCTTACAATATTTAGAGTCATCTCTCTTTTATCATTTATTAATATTTTACGTAATGAGTAATTATAAATGATCGAATCTTCTCCTACAATTGAGTGATACAACATCTTGTATGATACAAACTAAATTTATACTTTTATGTTACGGTGGATAGGATTCATGGATTGGTTTAAAAGGATTGGTGGATTGGATCCATGGATTCAAGCGAATCTAGACATTGGACCAATATGTAAATTTAAAAAATGATAGATACCAAAATGTCATAAAATATAGTTACAAAATATAATTATTCAATGATTTTACATTAAAATTAAATCTAGGGTATTAAAATGTAAAATGTTATATGGACTAATTTGTAATTTGTTTTGGCAACAATAAAACTACTCCAGCTTTATATATAAGAACTATTGCTAAGAAAACTTCTATTTCAACAAACATTCTATTTCTACTTAAATTCTCCTGCAATTGATAAGAAAACTTCTCTACAAGATAGCTTAGTTGGTATAACATAATATGATTAAGTTTTCATTTCAGATTATTGTAGTCGTTACTGTTAGAAGTATTGGGTGGTGATTGTAATTAGCCTTTAATCCTTGTGTTAGAAATATTGGTTAATTATATTATGGTCCTTGAGATAGGTTATTCGGCTAGTATAAATAGGTGACATTGACCGAACTTGTAACTTAAGGATTCTCTGTTAACACAATTGACTATGAGAGGTTGCTACTCTCCGTGGATTAATCTCAACTATGCATTGAATACCACGTAAATCAGTGTGCTTTGTGTTGTTATCCTCCTCCCGATCTTGTGTTTTACATGGTATCAGACAGTTACTCCAGGGGCGGACCCAGGGCACTTTGAGGGTGTCCCGGGACACCCCTAAATTTTGGGAAACAATTTCTCAACCCCCAGAGGTAATTTACGTATAGACACAAAAATTATAATTGATATTGAGGGACATCCTTGAAATTTAAAAAAATGATTATCCTACTCGCATTTTTAGATTGCGTATGGGAATATAAGTGGTAATTTGGGTAACTCAAAGTGTCAAACCCAGGACATGATTATTATTAATAAATATAATTCCCATTAGGCTACTTTGTTGTTTGATTTTAAACACTGTGTAATAGTAAAATGTCATTCCCTATCTCTAATATTTTTGAAAACCTAACAATTAAACTAATTTCAAGCTAGTCTTAATTTGTATTGATTTCATGGCTGTACGACAAGTGTTGAAAGAGTTTTTTCAACCTTGGGTAATATCAAGAAAAATTGAAAATCGAATATGCGATCAATTCATGAATAATTTTCCAGTAGATATACAAAGAAATGTTTCTTGTGCAGTGTAGACACCAAGTATATTCTACAATTATTTCCTAATATGAAAATACATCACAAACATTTTCTTAACTTGTACGAGTCATGTATTTTCTTATTTAATAATTATAAATTTTTATTTTTATTTAATTATTTTTTTATAAGAGGACACCCCAAGTAAAATTCCTGGGTCCGCCGCTGAGTTACTCCATCTCTATTTGTATGGTGTTATTGCCGGAAAGAAATATTTCCAACATAAATGGTGTAGCGACGTATCTCATTCCGTATACGATAGTAATGTTTGTCGATTCATTGCATTTCCTGCATCTTTTAGGTGAGGCGTTTTGATAGCTGCTCGAAGGATGATATGATATTGAGCTACCATTAATAAAGTGTCTTATCTGGAAGAATACACCATTTATCCCCCATCTTTGAGATAGATTTAAAGAAAATATATAATAACAATAAGCTAATAACTAATTATTTTTACCATACAAACTAAGAAAAACTTACCAAGGATACCATGATAATAATATCATCATATTTATTCTAACATACTAAATAACTAATTATTTTTGCATACTAACCAAGCGAGAATATGATGATAATTAATCAATTCCCCAAAAGGCCCACAATATGGAACCAAACCCAAATCCCCTAATCCTCTTATTCTACGTTGCCCTAACCTCAGACAGTCACAGACGTTCGCCAACGAAAGCATGCGGCAACATGTTTTCCGGCCAATTATAACAGTTCAACCCATTTTTCATGATCAAACACGGCCCCGTCGCCCTGACGAGCCAATGGCAGAAATGGTGGCAGCCCGTAAAATCATCTTCGTCCCTATACTGATGATAGACGTCAATATGCTTAAATCCCTCTCCCCAATTGAAATAGCAGAAGAAGAGAGTGTTCCCCCAGAAGCTCGGCCGGAACTTCCAAGAGATGCTTCCGTGCTGCTTCAGAAAATGAACCCCGATGTCGTCGTCTTTCGACTTGCAATGAACCTTCATTTCTTGTCCTCCCTGCAAGTCATTCTGCACCATCACCCTCGTCTTCTCGAAAAACGAATCGGCGGGCATGGCAAATGCGGCCAAGAGAAGAACCGTAGCTAAGATGGCGCTGTTATGCCTCATCTTCGTGCTTGTTGGAGCTTTTCCAGTTTATTATACTCGATCTTCAAGGTCGTTTCTGCATTAGAGAATGAGTTGATTGAGATTAGGCTATGGGTGTGATGTTTTTTTATATGTAGTGATGTGGTCAAGAGGTTTGTGGTGTGGCAGAAGTTTTCGTCACGTTAATCGCTCAACTAGTATTCAAAAAAAGGTTTGCCTGGACTCGTACGAGGTTTTACGACGAATTGGGGAAGATAAAAACATAACTCCGGGAGTTTTGGAAAGAATGATGGGGAGATAGACTTTGGATTTTTTAAATTGCCAACATTTAGTGATTATCCATACAATTTTTTTTCTTGGGGTTTTCTCCTCTTTACTACTAATTAATAACTTTGGATTTTTAATTAAATGTTTTTTTCCTTTGGGTTTCCTTCAAATCAAATACCAAAGGAAATGATGGTCATTTTTTGTTTCGGGATTTTCGTACCGAAATCTTAAGTAAAGTCATATGGAACGCAAGAGATTGTATGCATAACCTATATTTATTTAATAGTTTATAATAAAGTTTTAGTCATTGGATAAACCTAATAATTTATGCTTAATTGCATGGTTACTGAGATTAAAAAAAATATTCATGTTTGTTCACTGAAAATATTTTTAAATTCAATATTTGTTACTCAAATTAGTTAAATGGTTCAAGTTTGGTCACTCTCTATTACCTTCCGTTAGTTTCCATTAACACTGTTAGTTATTTGCTGACGTGGCTAACAGAAATGTTGATTCACGTAATATAAATTATAAAAAAATAAAACCGAACCGTACAGTCAGCAAAACGCGCCACATTAGTTACCCACCCCACCCCAACCCGTGACTCAACCCTTCCTCCTTCCTTTATTTGATCCAACCAAAATAAAAATCCTAAAAATCTTCAAGAAGAATCTCACACACAAATCCCTCTCCGAGATCGCCCTCATCGCTGCTAGCTCCTCCTCCAAGTCCAACATCGTTGCCCTCACCGTCGCTAGCTGGTCAGGTTTCCAACTACAACTCCAATGTTGCTAGGTGGCCCAAGGACTCGGAAGATGGAGAGGATTGAGGTGGCGACACCATTGACGAAGGAAGGGTTGGATGCGGCGACAGTACCTCAACCTCCAACCGCAGTCTGTCGGTGTCGAAGTCAAATGCTAGAGGGAGCTAGGGATAACCAGTTGTTGGAGGAACACGAGCCTTCTTCTGGGTTATTCCTCCTCTATTTTATCTGATAGGAAAAAATCCTAGCACCAGTGAATGACGGATCTGCTTCTCCCTAACTTATCATCTGCCGAAAGAGCGAAGGTGACAGTGAGGAGGGAGTTGAAGGTAGCGCTCTGTCGTTGCTTAGTCATATTAGAGAGGCGAGTGGGATCGACGATGAGGGAAGAATTGAGAGCTGAGTAGAATCTTTAGTTGCATTGACCAACAAGAGTACGAAAATAGAGGATGAACCAAGGTAGATCAGCGGCAGCCAACGGCGGAGATGATTCTACTCATGATGGTGGTATTTCTGTTGAAGGAAGAAGATATGAGAAGAGGGAATTCGACATATTGGACGACGGCGGCGGCAATAACTTCTTCCGGTCCTCTTCTCCATTTACTGACGAGGGATTTTGCATATTGGTCAATCTTGGGGTTTAATTTAGGATAGGTCGGATCATGGGTTAATGGGTGGAGTCGCAATGGTTAGATTGTTATGATGTGACAGTATTTTATTTGATTTTATTTTTTTTCAAAAATAAGTGACTAGGTGAGTCTGTTAGCCACGCCAGCAAATAACTGACGGTGTTAACGGAAACTGATGGAAGGTAACGGAGAGCGACCGAACTTGAACCATTTAATTAATTTGAGCGACCAAGATTGGATTTAAATATTTTCAGTGACCAAACATGAACTTTTTTTTAATTTTAGTGACCAGCCATGCAATTAACCTTAATACTTTATATCACATGACATTTTAAATTCATACAATTTTAATGATTTGTATCTTCTTCATTTTAATTCAAAATTCAATAAATTTGCATATAAAAGAAAGATCTATTTTGATGTGCAAAATTATGAACATTTTAAAGGGAAACATTGTTATACTCAAATACAAAGTGATCCATTACTATGGCAACAAATCACTATTACTCAAGTCTAGTAGTATTGGCAAACCACAGCTGGACTTAAACCACTACTAAATGAATTACAAACGACTACTACCGTTAGTGAAACCACTACTGTAACATCAAAATTACTACTAAGGCTACACAAACCTTTTTTTTTTTTTTTCTTCTCGAGTTCATGCTTGAAAACACCAACGACCAACTTAGAGAAGCACTGATAGGCGCCAACATTTATGTTCTTCATATCCAAGTCCAGGGGCGGAGCTAGGATTTTGGGTTTGGGGGGGCCGGAAATGATTCGTATATTATCGTAATAAGAAAAAAATCAAAATAATTATATAACTATATAAATAAATTAATTGTGTAAATTATTAAAATGTACGAGATGTTTTGTCAAATAATTAGATTGACATTCTTGTTAAACTTATCGGGGAAATTTTTTCCATTAAAGCTATAAAATTGTAAAAAACTCCAACCGAAAAACTAACATAGGTGAGGATTGAACCCTTGACCTGTTTGATACAAAACCACTAAAAACTCCACTAGGGTAATCAGCTACTTTAGATACCTTTTAACCCGCGACCATTATTATAAACCTGTATTTACTTCGTAATTTTCAGAATACTCGTACATTCTTTTGTGATTTTCGAAATTCTCGGGGGGGCCGGGGCCCCCTTAGGCCCTGTGTAGCTCCGCCCCTGTCCAAGTGGAACCCTCCATCGAAGAATAGTTTACATTGTCAGCCACTGATCACCGTTTTCCCTCCTAGCATAGACTAACTCTACATTTCCCCCTTCCATACACCAAGCATCTGTGTTAGTGGTAATTATTAATTCATGAGCTATATTCATATAATGAAGGTAGAGTTTATAACCACCAAGAGGTGGCTTCAATGGTAAAAGTTAAAACATGTGGATTAGCGTGCCATGCACTCAAACTTTTTGATTATTACGGCTTACTGGTCCAAGAACCTGTTCTTCATGACCACTGACAGCATTGTATAGTTGGAGCACCCAATCTCATTAATTAATTTGACACAAGGTTGTCAAACCGGTTTAAGTCATTGAGCCGGTTAAGCAAGGGGTTTGAGGTTTAATGGTCTGATCGGGGTCCGGCCGGTTTGAGCCGTTTTAGACGTTTTCTAAATATATATACAAATAAAGTAGTAATTAAAAATTTAATGAGTGAAATAAAATTTATCTTACATATATCTATTAAAAACTTATTTTCAACAAAATAAATCTACCTAACCTCCATGATCCACCTACCATTTCCCTTCCTTCGTTCTTTTTCCTCTCTTCTGCCTCTCTTCTTCTCCCTGTTTAGGGGTCAGACCGGGGGGTTTTCTGGAGGCCGTTTTGAAGCCCGACTCGGGTTGAACCGGGTCCAACCGGGGAGTTTGATAGGGGTTTAACAACCTTGATTTGACAATAACCAAGATCAAGAGGAGCACAGGTTCACAAATTATAAATAATATTCTACATGCACACCACCTCGTTCATATCAGAATAGTCTATATATACAAGAAAAAAATATATTAATTACGTGGTATCCAATGAGCGGGTCATATATATTATAAATAGAGGAATTTTATAATAATATATAGCATTGGTGCTATAGGTTTTTACCTTTATGGTACAACTTGAAATTGTACATTTAACGTTATGGTACAATTTCATATTGTACCTATATATTTTGTACAAATTCTTTTATGGTATAACTTGAACTTGTACCTTTATTTGATGGTACAACTTCAAGTTGTAAAGTTGTACCATAACATAATGATACAAATTTCTTTATGGTACAACCTAAACTTATACATTTACTGTTATGGTATAACTTTAAGTTGTACATTAAAGCACCTATATTATATAGCATAGTAGAAGTGATCTTATTATTTATAATGTAACAAAACATAAATATGATAAAAGAAGACTAAGAATGTGGAAACACTATTCTAATTACCATTCATTCAACAATTAAAAGTTAAGGGAATATAGTAAAAAAGACGAAGAGGTCTAAATATTTACCAGAAAAATCAACACTCAGTCTCAATATATACGCCAGTGGCTAGAATACAAAATCGTAGTTGTTCATACGAAAGAATTAATAAAATGTAATTGATAAAATATGATTTGTTGTATGATTTTAAAGCTTGTAGTATTTGAATTCTCATGATAGCTTACGATATTGATAGTTGGATTAAGGCAAGCATACGAAAAACCAGAGAAGTGTTCAAATGATTACTATAGTAATTATCAAATCAAATTAAATTTTATTAACCATGGAATACAATATCATAACTAAACCGTCCAAACTAATACAACAATCAAATTAATCAAACTAAATTTTAATCGGTTTGATTAATTGGTTAACAAGATTAACCAATATAACACCACATTATCATTACGTGACAAAATTTTCTGGTCAATGCATCAATTTACAATTTATATAATTAATAAAATATAAAAATCAACACATAATTATAGTTATTCCTTAATTGTAAATACATGCAACTAATACAAGTATCTTACAGTCAATAGAAGTATTCACCTAATAAAAATATTTGCAATGGTATGGTTTAATGAATTATTGTATTTGTGTGAATTGACTTAGTCTCTTAGCAATTATCATAGGCTTAAAAAGACATTCTATAATTTTCAAGTTTTCATCCAACATAATATAGGTGTTTTATCTAAATTAAACGACCATATGTTGTTGTCTACACTCTTCAAATACAAATATACAGTATTTGAACAATATAGAGCTTTACTTTTTGTGAGTGTAAAAAGGATGAACGTTTGACTCTTGAGTGGTTATGCAAAGTATTAAGTATGTGTATAATATATATTAGAGAGATAGCTAATTACTGAACTGGTTAATTTGGTTTCATTGGTTCTAAAACCAAACCAAACAAGCTAAAAAAATCTAACCAAACCAAACTAATTATCCAAAATAACCAAATCATATTAATCAATTAAAATGATTAACATGGTAACCACTCCGTTTGAATGAAACACTAGCCATCATCAGTAAATAACAATTTTAACAAATTTAACAAATGCAAAGGGGCAAGGAAAAATCCTCGCCGCCGCTTCCTCGCCGCCTCACTACCGCTTCCCCTGTCGTCGTTCTCCCGAGTCTCGCTCTTGCTAAAGAAAGGTCCCTTCTCCTGTTCCGGTTGCCGCTCCGACTCCCCGGCATCCCATCATACACCTTCACGAGAATCAGTGCCGGTTAGCGCATCATCAACGACGAGCACCATCCTGCCATCGTTCCCCATCTCGGCTCCAGCTCCCTGCCCATCGCTCGACTGCTATCATCGATCCTAGCCCTCTCAGCGCCTCCAAACTTGAGCTATCCCCTGCCATTTTCAGTGGCCGCCATCGAATTCCAGCACCACTCTTATCCTCCTTCCGCGACAGATTCAGTCCCCTGCCAACTGGGACATGCAATCCTCAGCTCCCCTGTCTCTCATCTCTGCCATTTCAGATCTGCATCCTCGCTCGGATTCTTCTCTGGATAATCCCTTTCGCTTTCTTTTTGTTCTTTCTCTCTTTAGATGTCTTCGTTGATGTTATGGTTTGGATTCTAGATATGTCAATGCCTCAATTAGGAATTCTCTTTTGGGTCCTATGGAGTCCGCTGGGATTCGATCTATTGATCTCTATTTTCATTAAATCTGAGTTCTTGATGCATGCTTCCTCTGCTTTTGTTGCATGTTTTAGTATGGTAACATAGGGGTTTCTATATCAAGGTGTATTCGATTTATATTACGTTGGATTTTTCTGCTTCTTGTTTTGGCTCCCTCACATGTATTGCTAATTGTTCTATGCCCTCTCTGCTATTTTTTCTAGATTCTTGGTTTCCTTTGGACCTGCTTTGTCTCTTTGTGTAGCTCTGTTTTGCAAGTGAAGAAGAAAGAAGGCGGCGGTGATCCTGAGGTAACGGCGATTGGGGAAGATCGGCAGATCCGACCTCGACGTTTCTTCTACCTCCAGGCTTTTCCTGGCTCTTTGTGGCGGTGGCGGTGTGACGGTGGAGTGGATAACTCTTCAGGGACTTGTGCACCCAGAAGCAGTGGTGTGAAGGGCACGTGGCATTGCCTCTATGGCTCTATCCCATACCAGCGTGACGTCAAGATTTGGGCTTTGCGGGCTTCACCCGGAATCAATGCTTATCCGAGCATTAGAGCTTTTTTAGTGACAATCTTTTGGTGGGCCTGTTTGGGCCTTGTTTTCTAGCCTTGCAGGTGGTGATGCTCGCAGAATTAGTAGCTTCCCCATTTATTGACCAATCGTGACAAAGGTGCTTGTCTCGGTGATTCTTGCTGATATGCTGATGTAATGACACGTGCTATTTGGGCCAAGGTGACTCTTCCTGCCAGCAAGGTGATACTGCTCCTTTTGCATTGGACCATGTGTTTGCTAATTTTGTAGGTGATTCTTCCTACCAAAATTGCAAGGATTTGCTTCTCTGCTTCACTTTCAGCGTGGTTAATTATGTTATTTTCACCTGCTTAGGGTAAAAATCATGGATATTGCCCATGCCGTATAAGTATAAAGAGCTGCCCGTTGCGTGGCGAAAAAGGTTCTCTTATCGATGGTTCGGCTGTTTGTCGACCGTCGTCCCTTTCTCTTATATGTATTATTATGGTTGCCTGAAAAGACTTCCGACTCGTATCTAGCTGTTCCCTTTCGGGAATATCTTTGACAAAAAATAAATAAATGCAAAGGGCAAGAGTCCCTAGGGGTGTTCAAACGGATTGGTTACCGTGGTAACCATATTAACCGGTAGTATTCGGTTAATTTGGATAATTGGTTTGGTATTGTTAAACAATTAGCTTATTTGGTTTCAACATTGCTAACTAGTGAAACCAATTAACCAATTAATGATACACCTAATGTACAAAATTATTTATACTTCCATGCAACCAACCAAACCAAACTTTCGTGATTCCCTATTTTATTTCCATGCGCAAAACAAACCAAAGCATTATGAGTCAAAAATTAAATGGGTCTGCCACTTTACTAAATCAAAACATTTTGGACAACTACTAGACTTTAGGATTACGTACAATATCATGATAGCCACCTCAAACTCTGTATAGTTTAAGTGTTTTGTAAAGAGTTTTAACTTCCTGATGAGTGGTATTGGTATGTATTTAATATTTATGTTAAGGGTCTGTTGTAAGCTAACTATATTAGGTGTAGAGATGATAAATGATGATAATAATTATGGGTGGTTAATCTTATTATTATTGCTCATATATAATGATAGTTTATGATAGTAATAACATATGGATATGTTTTATTCATTAACATGATAATTGTTTTCATGTAATGTTATGTTATTTGGTTAATCCAATTATCCGATTAACCAAACCAATTACACTTTGGTTTGGTTAATTTGATTTTTGTGTTAATTTGGACGGTTTGGTTAAGACATTTTATTTCATGATTAATGAAATTTAAGCTTAATTGGTTTGGTTATTACAACGGTAACCATTTGAACACCCCTAAGAGTCCCAACCAACAATCTCGCATTTATGGGCCTAGCTCATGGGCTAAAGCATGAGCTAACAATAGCATTCGAGGATGTAGGGGGCAATAAATACCAGTGCACCGAAAATTGAAAGGAGACAGAAAAAATATGGAACATACATTCGGTGCTTACAAGACCTTTGTAATTCTTTGTAAAAAAAGAAGACCTTTGTAATTCTACCCAAAAAACACAAAACCTTTGTAAGGACATGTTTACCCACTCCATAGTTGTTTGTTGTTCAATGGGATGTTGGGCACTTCACGTATGTTAGATGAACGAGCAGTATATTATTTATACATTATTATTCAATTTATCAGTTGCAGAGCATCAGCTCCTAATCAGACGATTATGTGCCGAGTAAGCACGCTTTTATATAGGTTGGTGTAAGCACCATAGCCAGATTGAATCTGACAAGTCGAAGATTTATGAAATGAAAAAATTTAAAACCCATGTGGTATGAAATCCCACCATTCACTTACAAAAAATTAAATTTTCATGAAATGCTATCAATGATTCTTATAAATTTATATTTAGGGTAAATACAATTTAATATCCAAATCTTTCATTTTAAACAATAATAGCCAAACCTTTTCGAAAACAATCTAATATCCAAATCGTCAACTTTCCGTTCGTTTGACCATTAGTTGACACTTCAAAAAATCTTTGTTTAGGGGAAATTGTCACAATACAACTTTGTTTTCTTGTTTTTGCATTGCAGATGACTGAATATTTAGATATTCTATACCATCATGGTGGAGTCATAGACTTCTCGGGTTTGAAACTACGATATGTTGGTGGTTTTTCAGAGAAGATATCGATGGATATTGATGAAGTGTCGTACTTCGAACTTTTTTGAAGTTTCAACTAACAGTCAAACAGACAAAAAGTTGACGATTTAGATATTAGATTGTTTTCGAAAAGGTTTGACTATTATATTGTTTAAAATAAAAGTTTTGGATATTAAATTGTATTTACCCTTATATTTATGCACATGATCTATTTTTTCATGCACTTTCATTAATCTCGTCTATCAATCAATCAATTTTTTTGCGCACTCCTATTCATTGCGTGAAAACATAGATCATTTGCATAATCTATCAATCAATCAAAAGAAGTATTGTCCAATGTGTTCTTCATGTTGGCTGTTGGGTAATTTGGAAGAAAAGAAACCAGAGGGATGAATTTCTCAGGAGGCAGTTGAAAAAAAAAGTCCCAATTCTCCCTCCACTCTCCCCACGTCGGGCGAGTGGGTAGGGCTCTTCGCCTCCGTTCGACAATGGCGATAACCGCCTCCAGCTACGTGCCCCGTCGGATCCGGCTTTCAGTCATCGGAGAAAGCATAAAAGGGGATCCCTCGTACGATTACTATGCTCCACACAACTCTTACTTGCTGAATCTGTTTTCCCCTTCTGTATACACCCTCAATTGTTCTGAGCTTTCCAGGTTACGATGGCGGCAGTTCAATTCAACAATGCCGATGTAGCAGTGGGTGCCCTGCGAATTGACCGAACTTTGATTGGTCGTCTCTGTGGCCCACTCCCCTCGATTTCAGCTCTGAGATCGATTGTTGGTCGGGTCTGAAAGTGCAATTTCTCAGTTGCGGTGGTGGAATGGGATCTGCTCCAGTTCTTCCTCCCGGATTCTGAGACTGCCTAGCGAATCCTCTCCGGCACTCCATGGATCTTTGAAAAGTTCCTCATTCATGTGCGAAAGTGGGAAATGCCGACGACTGAATTGGCGAATGCTCTTCTCAAGGTTCCCTTGGTGGCACAATTCTTGGGGGTCCCATTTTACTGCTGTACTGAGAAGCTCGGGTCTCTCCTGGGAACTGCCTTAGGACCGGCGGAGGAAGCAACGATCCACCGGTCGGTGTCTTCTGGCGGGCTCTTCATCAGATGCAAGGTCTCCCTGGATGTGAACCCGCCTCTCCCTGATGAAGTTTCTACTTTCCACGAAGATCCTTCCAAAGGATGCTTCAAGGTCAAAGTGAAATTTGAGTCCCTCCCCCAGTTCTGCTTCTTGTGTGGGGTGATTGGACATATGAACAGATTCTGCCCCAAAAAGGATGAACTTGCTGTGCAGCCCCCAAGATATGGGAAACACCTGGTGGCGAGCGAATTTGGGCCTCGGGTGCGCGAAGACACGTTGGCGCGCCGACGCAAGCGCTTTGTCTGGACTTTGGCTGGGAATAGTGCTGGCGCACGATTGGCGCGGAATGCTCGCAACATCAGTTCAGTTCCAGGGCGCGCTACTGCGATTGCTCGACAGGAAATCTCTCCTCAGCAGGGGGTGGCTACTCATCTCCGGCAGCTATACAAATCATCGATTGCGGGCTCTCCTACTGAGACCCCACAGCAGGCTGGCGACAAGATGCTCGAACATGGAGAACCAAAGGCCATAAGGGTACGACTTGGACCCCAGGAGCAGGTGGTGGTTGCAGATCAGGACAACAGGGTGGAGGCAGCCGGCCCTAATCGGCCCCAGGCCGATCCATGAGCATCCTTTCCTGGAACTGTAGGGTCTTGGGGGCGCCCCTAACAGTCCTGTTCTTCGGGAGGTGGTCCAGAGAGACTCTCCCTTCTTGGTTTTCCTGAGTGAAACTAGGCGAGATGATGAGTTTGTTATTGATCAGTTAGGTAGTCTTGGCTTCCATGAGGAGCGTGTACATAGTGCGTCTAATAACGAGAGTGGTTTAGCTATTGCCTGGTTGTCTTGTTTAGGTGTCTATGTTGCTGTTGAGTCTTCAGGTTTTTTGTTTTTAGAATACGAGCATTCATCTCATGGACGTTTCACTGTAGTCTTTGTTCACTTGCACTGCGATGTTGCCCCCGGCAATTCCTACTTAATGAAATTTCCCATTTAGTGTCGTTGTATGAGGATCCAATATTTGTGATTGGCGATTTTAACTGCTTACTGTTTAGTTCTGAAAAGCAGGGAGGTCGAGTTCCAACTCCAGCAGCATTGAGTCAACTTAATCAATTCCTAAATGCCGGGCTCTTCAAGACGTGGGCTTCATCGGCCCTCCGTTCACTTGGTCCAATCGTCAGTCGTATGGAGATCACATCCAAGCACGATTGGATAGATGTTTGTCTAATGCTCTTTCTATCTCTTTGTGGCCGGAGTTGCAAGTACAACACCTTACAGACAGGGGGTCAGATCACCGCATGCTACTGCAGAGATTCATTCCACCAGCTATTCGGCATGTGAGGCGATTTCATTATGATCAACGGTGGGACTTCAACTCAGATGTTCCCCCTCTTGTTCACTTGGCTTGGCACAAACCAGTGAGTGGCACACCACTTTTCAAGATACAAACCAAGCTCAAATATGTTCGCCAGGAGCTATTAGAGTGGGCCAAGGCTGGTACGACCAACTCTGCCCGCAAAATTCGGGAACTTCGCGGAGCTATTGATATTGTTCGAGACACTGCCGCAGTTGATTGGAATGAAATCAACAGACTAGAAAGTCACCTATCGGAGGCATATCGACAAGAGGAGCTTTACTGGAAATAGAAGGCGCGGGTCAACTGGCTTCATGGAGGGGATGCTAATACCCATTTTTTCACTTGACTGTGATTGAATGAAGGAGATCCAACAATATCCCAGCTCTACGAGACAGCCAGGGCGACTTACAAACTGTTGAATCAGTAAAGGGGGAAGTAGCAGTGTCTTATTTCCAGCTCTTATTCACTTCTAATGGTTTTGACCCCTCATCTTTTGTGAATAGCTTGCATCTACCTATCAAGATTAACTCCGCAATGAATGATCAGCTTACGTCGCAGGTATCCCATTTGGAGATTAAGCAGGCTTTCTTTAGCATCGGTAAACATCAAGCCCCGGGATCAGAAGGATTTAAAGGCGCATTTTATCAACGGTTTTGGGACGAGATTGGATCCGAAGTTTCAGAGGCGATACTTTCTTTCTTCAGGACAAGCTTCTTACTTCATAGTGTTAATCACACCCTGCTGACCCTCATTCTGAAAGTCGCCTTCTACCCTTAATTGTCAGTGCTTTTCAAAATGGTTTTGTGAGAGGAAGATGCATAACTGATAATATTCTTATTGGCCAAGAAGTTATGCAGTTCCTCAAAATGAAGACTCGTGTACATGATAAGTGGATGAGGCGTATGACCGAGTGGAGTGGGAATTTCTATTTCAAGTCATGATTTCCATGGGTTTCTGTGAGAAGTGAATGATGTGGATTAAAGCATGTATCACTATAATTCGCTTCTCTGTCCTTCTCAACGGGGCTGAGTATGGATACTTTCAGTCTCAATGTGGAATTCGCCAGGGGGACCCTCTCTCGCCCCTGCTCTTTGCCATTTACACTGAAGCGTTTGCTGCCAAGATCAACCAAGCGATCTCTAACTCCTCACTTCATGATCTTAAGGTGCACAGGTCAGCTCCCTCACTTTCCCATTTATTCTTCGCAGATGATGCTTATCTTTTCCTTAGAGCCTCTATCCCGGAATGTGCAAGTTTGCTTCAATTAGTATCCGACTTTGAACTGTATAGTGGACAAAGGGTAAATTTACACAAGTCTGCTGTGTGTGTGAGTGGAAATGTCTCTGAGCAGGAACTTCAATCCATTACTGCTTACCTTGGAGTTAGGATTATGAACCCGGATGACAAGTACCTAGGCCTCCCCTCTCAGCTGCGGCGATCGAAGTCACTGTCTTTTCAATTCCTCGATGAAGACCTGTCTGCTCGCATCCGTAGTTGGAAGACTAAGGCAGTGTCATTAGCGGCTAAAGAAGTGGTGATCAAAGCTATTGGGGCGGCTGGCCCGATTTATGCTATGTCGGCTTTCAGACTACCTCAAGAAACCAGTTGATCTCTTGGAACGCGCTATGCCAGAGTAAGTTTACGGGTGGACTTGGATTCCGTGACTTTAACCGATTTAATGTTGCACTTCTAGCTAAACAGGCCTGGCGCGTACTTCACAATCAATCTAGTTGTTTAGCCCGAATGTATAGAACAAGGTATCATCCTCAGCATGAGTTCCTTTATGCTATTGTTGGCAATCGCCCTTCCTAGGCTTGGCAAGGACTCTTGGAAGGGAGGAATCTACTCCTACGAGGCCTGCGGTAGCAAGTCGGTGATGGATCCCAGATCCGGATTTTCCACGATCACTGGCTTCCCTCGTCTCCTCCGTCGTGCCCAGTCTTACGACTAGGTTTGAGTTCCTATCCTATTCTAGTCTCGGAACTAATATGTCATGTGACTCATTCGTGGAATAAGGAATTGTTGGTTTCGTTATTTGTGCTTGATAGTATTGCACTTATATTATCTATTCCTCTTCCTACCTCTGCTGCTACTGACCGGTTGATTTGGCACTACTCTCCGTCGGGAGTTTACACTGTTAAGACAGGGTACCAAGTCTTATCCGCCAAACACAATCTCCAACATTCGCCGACAACACTATCTTTTGAGACCCGATTTTGGAAGCTCCTTTGGAGTCTTCCGGTGCCACCGAAGCTGAAATTTTTCCTATGGAGGGCTGTTCGTGGCTTTCTTCCACTGAAAATTGTGTTATTTACCAAAACGCTTACCTCTGACACTATTTGCCCCATTTGCTCGGAGGAACCAGAATCTTTCTTCCACTTCTTTTTCACATGCAAGGTTGCTCGAGGACTATGGCGACTGTAAATCTTGAGGACAGGATAGCGTCCCTAAATGGCATGACCCCAGACGATGCGTGGAACTTTCTCTTCTTCTCCATGAACCTTTCCAAGATGGAGTTAGCGGATATGGTGTTTATTCTCTGGCGAATTTGGAAGGGCAGGTGCTGGTCGGTACACAGTCATATTCAATACCTCCCCCACACTTTATTCCGACAGTACCAGCTGCAAGTGGAGGAGTGGAGATCAGCGGGTGAGGCAGCACCTCATCTTGCTCGCGGGAACACTATTCCCGCCCTCCCTCTGCTACCAATACCCTGGTTGCTGGAGTTGGACTCCTTTCGAATGCAATCTCAGTCTATTTCGATGGGGTGGCTAAACGAGATCGAGGAGGAAGCATTGGCTTCGTCGGATTCCAGACATCAGGTAATGTCCTCTTTGCGTTTGGTAAATGGTATGAAGGAATCCATGACGTGTTTGTTATGGAATGTTTAGCATTAAGAGATGCCCTTCAATGGTGCCTGGCCCATGATTTTGTTTTTGCCAAATTTCATGAGGATTCACAATAATTAATACGGTCGCTCATGATCGAGGAGGAGCAGTGCTAGAAGACGCACGTCACTTGGCGTCCCAATTCAGTTGGATCCAGTTCTGCTTTGTGTCTCGTTAACTTAATAGGGCCGCCCATCATGTGGCACCAAAAGCCCTCTCATCGGGAGTTCGACTATTGGTCGACTCCCGCGCTCTTCTTTTTGCTCCTGTATGACTGAATTTTTTACCCCTGACTTTGGGGGGGGAAAAAACCAGAGAATTTTTAAATAAGAAGTTTGTTCGCCTACAGGTCTTGCCCATAAAATTGTCGAAATGGTTATGGATTGGATTATGGTTAACTGTTTGTCGGCAGAACACATGGTCTGCACCGGATAACATAGTGGAGGTGCAGAACTGTTGGACAGTGAGTGTGAAGCTGCTTGAATCCTTGTTCCCGTTTTGGTGTCTGCTCTGCTTCAGCCTCATTGCAGCGACTGTTTTGTTCTAATTGAAATGAAGCGTTTTTTTCTCTTTATTTATTTTTTGTGATTCTTTCAAAACATCCTCAGATCTTGGGAAAAAATCCAAAACTACCACGGTTTAGAAAAAAATTACAAAAATACCACCCATTCTCAACAATTTCCCAAAATACCATCGTTTATTAAAAACCGCGCCTCTAATGGGCGGTTAACATACAAACTGCGCCTCCTGGAAGCGGTTTACATTATACCAGCTGCAAGTGGAGGAGTGGAGATCAGCGGGTGAGGCAGCACCTCATCTTGCTCGCGGGAACACTATTCCCCGCCCTCCCTCTGCTACCAATACCCTGGCTGCTGGAGTTGGACTCCTTTCGAATGAAATCTCAGTCTGGTTCGATGGGGTGGCTAAACGAGATCGAGGAGGAAGCATTGGCTTCGTCGGATTCCAGACATCAGGTAATGTCCTCTTTGCGTTTGGTAAATGGTATGAAGGAATCCATGACGCGTTTGTTATGGAATGTTTAGCATTAAGAGATGCCCTTCAATGGTGCCTGGCCCATGATTTTGTTTTTATCAAATTTCATGGGGATTCGCAACAATTAATACGGCGAATGGTGGACGGAGACTTCGCTCATGATCGAGGGGGAGCAGTGCTAGAAGACGCACGTCACTTGGCGTCCCAATTCAGTTGGATCCAGTTCTGCTTTGTGTCTCGTCAACTTAATAGGGCCGCCCATCATGTGGCACAAAAAGCCCTCTCATCGGGAGTTCGACTATTGGTCGACTCCCGCGCTCTTCTTTTTGCTCCTGTATGACTGAATTTTTTACCCCTGACTTTGGAAAGAAAAAAAACCAGAGAATTTTTAA